GCCAGTGAAGCCTTAATGGCTTGGTAATAATCATTTATGTGCGACCTCCAATTCTGTTCAAACATGTTAACTATTATAGTGAAGTTCGATGAACTCGCAAATACGTATAATTAAAATTCTTCTAACAAGTTTTGATGGGTTTTGTTTACATATACAAATAGTGAAAATGTAAAGAAATTTAACATATAACAAATTTATATTATCTTTCGTCATTTATTAAAATCCTAACAAAGTACATTGAAAGCAGTATCCTAAAAATATAAAAGTAACTCTATTATTTTAGACAGAACTAGTTTTGGCCTAATATTCCCACGGAATTAAAAAGAAAACCTTAGTAAGTAGCAAATGTATTTTTCCAGACTGTTCTACATCTGAACAAAACAGTTCAAAAACTCCATTTGAATATCTACTAACAATCATATAAAAACTAGCCCTAAATTTTGCATGGGTAAAATCTTTCGTAAAAAACGTTGCGACGTCCCAGAGTCCACGTTTTAACAACGCTCCCATTAAACCAAAACCACGTGATCCGAGAACTCGACAAACAATTCACTTTTGGTTTCCATTGACCGTGACACGTGACAAGGAATTGTGAATTCCGACCGCACACGTGATCTTGTACGTGCCGATGGTGGTCCGTATCCGTACCGAAAATGAATACCGATTATCGGAATAGGTACACACCTATTACAGAGCCGGACTCGAGCCATTTATTATGTAAATTAATTGTTTACAAACATTAAACCGATCGTTACGGACCAATACGTATGACTGTGTGATCGCACAATGAAATCTGCAATACTTAAACGGCTGTAATATAATTTCAATGTTAAAAGCATCCTTTAAATAGTCTATTGATGAATAAATAATAAGATAATGAGTGTTTAGAGTTTAGAATAAATATAATTACTCGTGCAGAAATAATGACGCACGACGTTAATAAATTGAAACAAGTAAATCAATTTTATATTTAGTCTTAGTGATCTTTCATTAAAATAATGTTATACAATTATGTTATAACTAAATGCAAGTAACTTAATTTTAGTAATATTAAATCACCCATCTTTAATTAAGAAGATGTCAGCAATTACAGCATATTTTTGAACAATTCTTTTTTTAATAAAAAGCCCTACACTTACGTCACGCTTTAGGCTATATATTTTTACGCCATTAAACTTAGAGGGTAAATATTTTGGATAAAAACCTTAATGTGGGAAAGAGACCATAAGTCGCTGCCAATATCAAGGAAGTACGGTGGCCATGCTTTGTCATGTCATGTCATTTTTACATTTGCAATTGATAATTTGATACATGTAAACAATAAGATAAAATTTTCATAATTTTATGCGGATGAAGTCACACGCACGCCAGTAACTTATACGGAAGCTATTTTATAGTTCAGACCGTTCAGATAG